TGCAGAAAAGGGGAGCGGGGAAAAGGAATACAAATCCATCATTTTTTTAATTTGTTAGGATAGGATGATAGATGATGATAGGGTGTGAAATTGGAAGTTCATCCATTTTAAGTGGATTTCTTAAGATCAAATTCTGACAGACCAAGGAGGGTCTGTCACCCCTATGCTCCAACATACCCTGCCTGCACGCACACATCATTCCTGTTGCGGATGGCATAGGCATGCATTGCCTGTGCAGGAAAAAATGGGGCAGTTTTCTGCGATATCGGAGTTTCTTGTCGTTCAATAAAGACAAATGGGGCTAAGGGATCATATTTAGTCAATGGGAATTTCAGGATCCCAAAATGGAGGTACTGTACCATATAAGGCCATATTTTGTGGGGATATTCCCTTACATAGGCCTTATATAGGCCTTATATATGATAGGTACCTCCAATTTAGGATCCTGGAATGGCCATTGATTTAGTTTTCTGATTCTTTTTAAAGCACACCACCCCATGTTTCCAGCCCCAAAAAAAGGTTTCTTCGGATTTTCGATGATTTTCGGATGCGTATACAGCGGTTTCTGCCAGGGCTGGGATTCTCGATGAAAAGGAAACTTGCAGGCGGGGTTTCCAGTAGTGGAGTATTGGAGGTATCAAAGTTGGTCACGGTTGCTCACTTCTTTTTCTCAACATTTCTCAACATATAAATATTGAATTCAGCTCTATCAGCCGGACATTGGGCTGAGCGGACTGACAGGAGGAAAAACCTCATACATATTGAATAATATTGACATATATGAACCCTTATCAATCCTTAAGACGAGGCGATGATTACAGAACCTGTTTAGATATAAATCGTCTCTGTACCATGCTTCACTTTGTCCTCAATTGGCTTCAGGAACTTCAGGCCCCTGAAGCAGAAGAGACATCTGCCCCCGGGGGAAAAAATGCAACTGCTCCAGTTCTCTAAATCTGGATGCTCCTCTCGTATCTGTCAGAATCGCTAGGAGAAACCCAAAGATCAACCCCGGAGCTTCAAAATACGCGAAACTCCTCGTGAAATGTTGAGAATGTTGAGAAGCTCTTGCTGAAGAAAGGGCCGTTTTCAACACCCCAAAAAAGCAATGTTTTTTCAATGTCTCCAGTCCATGAATCCAATGGCTCAATGGCTCACCGCCTTGCCTGAACCAGCTCTCGTCCGGCAGATTCAAATCCGGAAAGGCTTCCTGGAAGCTTCGCATCCCAGATCTAGGCCCAAAGCATAGCTAAGTTCTAGTCTGGTTGGTGGTTTTAACCATCTTGAAAAATAAGAGTTCGTCAATGGGAAGGATTATCCCGTTTTTATTTTGGAAAATAAGCAATGTTTGAAACCAGCAACCAGTAATGGTTTATGGTAGATATAAAACTAAAGTCTGAATGGGGGTTATAGACCGACTTGTAGCTTGGGGCCCCACATTGCAGGATTTGAGAAATCACAAGAATTCAAAACCGAAAAAGACCGCAAACCACCAGGTAGGCATTAGCTCATAAAGCTTGGGTAAACCATAAAAAGTGGGGATTCAAAATTTCAAGTGCGGCGAGTTACGCGAGTAACTCGTAGGCTTGCCAACATACCCCTCTGGTAATTTAACATAGCCATGGAACATGGCCCATTTACAGATGATTTTCCCAATAAAACCTCCATTTATAATGGATTTTCCATAGGTATGTTAAATTACCAGAGGCTATCCCATCACATTCTGAAGCTTGCTGGCTAAATCCCTATAGTTCAACTCTTTGGTTTCGATGAGAATCCCCCGTGAAACTTAAACGATGTGTTGCTTGATTATCCCCTATTGAATATCCACTATTCATGGTGAATTCCCACGTGAACAATTTCCAATCGTGTTCCCATTTATCATAGTAGATTCACTAGTGATAGAGGTTTATATATGTTATTTACTTTAAGTACTTGATGTACGGTTTATGCAGTTGGATATACTCCTAATTCCGTTTGGTTTTTATGGGATGGTATGGTGGGATGGTGTCCCACATGAAAATGGAATAAAAAATCAATGGCCATTTCAGGAACCTAAATTGGAGGTATCTACCATATATGAGGCCTATATAAGGCCTATGCAAGGGAATATCCCCACAAAATATGGCCTTATATGGTACAGTACCTCCATTTTGGGATCCTGAAATTCCCATTGATAAAACCTAACAGCCATGGAGAAGAAGTAACAACTATTCCATTACCGTTCCGTTCGTATTCTATATAGTATCCCCATGATATCGTCATTTTGGTTTGTTGTGATATCACCTTCATGCCAGGAACTGTTAAATAACAATATATATATATATGAATATATATCATTATATACGTAAATACACCAGAGGTACAGGATGGTGCCACCCCAGTTATGTTTGTTGGTTTACAACCCCATCTGAATATAATTATGTGCGTGTCATACAACATTCTTATGACATAGTAGGGGCCCCATCCTGCAGTTATATATATACACACCATATATAACTATATATATATGTATATATAAATATATATAAATATGACTATATGAATGGTTCTATATGATTATATATGAATATGTATGGCTATATAAATGAGTATATATGAGTATATACGACTATATATGTATATACATTATATACATTATATACATTATATACATCATCGTTATAATTTCTAAATATCTTCATAGGTTTCTTCGACGGTTTCCGATCCAGCTCTCCTGTGGGCTCTGACCATTGGAATCAGGGCAAGCGCCACAAGAGTCCTACGGCACGAAAACGTTGGGAAAAGGCTGGGAAAGTTCAACTGGAAATATTTTGGATGTGAAATGGTTGGAAAATGGTTGCTAATGTATTTTTATGGATGTAGTATCAAGTTTGGAAATGGTTGGAAAAGTTTTCGGAAAAGTCCAAAGTTGATCAAGACACCATCCATATACAATCAGTTGGGAAATTTGACGGATGTTGATGCAACCAAGTTGCCAAGTTAAAAAATACCCTCTAGTAAACAAACATAGCTATTGAAAATGGCCCAGTCGAAATAGTGGATTTACCCATGAATAGCATGGTGGATCTTTCCATGGTTTTTTTGGGACTGTTTACCAGGCCGGGTACGTCATCCAATCATTTTCCTTGGGCTTTCCGAAGTGAATTTTCCAATCTCCAATGAGTTCATGGTGGCCAACATCCATCAACTTTCTTGCTTGATTTTTACTGTCTCCAATGCGTTAATGGTGACCCCTCTGGTAAACAGTCCCAAAAAAACGATGGAAAAATCCACCATTTTGAATGGGAAAACTCACTTTTTTGATGGCCATTTTCAATAGCTATTCTGTTTGTTTACCAGAGGGTAATGGTTAGTGGAGCAGCGGAACCTGGTATATTTAGACATTTATCCTTGATACTTTTGCCTCGGTAATCAAATGTGGCTAAGTGGAAGGTCCTTATGGAAAATGGAGGTTTCAATGGGAAATTCACAGAACTAAATGGGACATTTGCCAGCAAACCATGTTTGATGATTATGGTATACATGTTGGGGGTGCAGGGCTGATGTAATTTTGTATGGGCATTGCGTTCTGTCTTAGCAGCCTCCATACATTGGGTTTTGGTTCCCCTAGTATACCAGTAGTACCGCACAAGGCGGTGGCGGAAGTTTCAAAAATAGGAAACCTATAGGAGAGCTTGGTGTTGTGAATCAGGGATGGCAGAGCGAAGCCACTGATGGACTGAAAGGTGCTTGATCTCTCTCTCTCTCTTTCTCTCTCGTTCTCTCTTTTTCTCTCTGTTTCTCTATCTTTCTCTGATTATCTATCTACCTACCTACCTAGTGATCTATCTGTCTATCTGTCTATCTATCTATCTTTCTATCTATCTATCTACCTGTCTATCTATCTATCTATCTGTCTGTCTGTCTATCTATCTATCTATCTATCTATCTTTCCGTCTACCTATCTATCTATCTCTCTATCTATCTTTCTACCTATCTATCTATCTATCTATCGATCTATCTGTCTATCGATCTAGCTGTCTCTCTCTCTATCTATCTATCTACCTATCTATCTATCTATCTACCTGTCTGTCTATCTATCTATCTATCTATCTCTCTCTCTCTCTCTCTGTCTGTCTGTCTGTCTGTCTATCTCTCTCTCTCTCTGTCTGTCTGTCTGTCTGTCTGTCTATCTATCCCCCTGTCTATCTGCCAGCTTGAAAACGAAGCACTTCTGCGAGACTTCCTCATTTTCAACGTTGACAACAGCAAAAACGAAACAATTCTACTCCAAAACGAAGCAATTCTGCGAGACTTCTTCAATTTTTGAACTTGACAACATCAAAAACAAAGCAATTCTGCGAGACTTCCTTGAAAAATGGAAAGTAAAGTGTAGCGCTGACAGCCTCGTACCAATGCGTTTTGCGATTTTTCCACCCCACCTATCTAAAGTACTGTGCCTGCCACGAAAAATTGATGCCAGGTCATACGAAGTGCTGCACCTGTCACGCAAAATCATCTTAGCAAACCTGCACATCTGATACTCCAAAATGCAACCCCTCTCAGGAAATCAGCGCAACCTCCTAACATCTCTCATGAACATGTCTTTTGTACTGCGCCTGCCACGAAAAATGCATCTTTGCAGATCCTCTTCAAATGTCCCATGCCTGCCATCGTTTTTGGAAATGCTACAAAACCCTCACGTTTTGCTCACTTTTGAAAGGTGCAGAATCCCTTGCGCCTGCCTCGCGAAACGACATCTAACCTCCAAAAATGGTCCGTACATGGTGTGTCTTGTACATTTTGACTTGGAAATGGGCTTCGCGCCACAACGGCGTGCACTTTTTCGACATCTAACCTCCAAAAATGGTCCGTACATGGTGTGTCTTGTACATTTTGACTTGGAAATGGGCTTCGCGCCACAACGGCGTGCACTTTTTCGACATCTAACCTCCAAAAATGGTCCGTACATGGTGTGTCTTGTACATTTTGACTTGGAAATGGGCTTCGCGCCACAACGGCGTGCACTTTTTCGACATCTCAACTGCGACAAGTGGTCCGCACCTGGCGTGTTTTGTACAATTTCACTTCGAAATGTGCTTCGCGACACAACGGCGTGCACTTTTTCGACATCTCAACTTCCAAAAGTGCTCCGACGCTGGTGTGTTTTGTACAATTTGACTTCGAAATGTGCTTCGCGCCACAACGGCGTGCACTTTTTCATCTCTCATCTGGCCAGCTGGCTCCGCACCCGCTGCTTTAGCTCCGGAGCCCCAAATCATTGGAAAAACACAGTGTTTCGCGACTTTCCTACCTTTTCGCGCATCTGCATCTTCTTTCTTCTGACTCTTTCTCTTCTCTGATCTTCTCTCTTCTAATCTTTCTCTTCTCTCTGCCTCTGCCCTGCTCTGCTTTTCATCTGTCCATATTGTCGGAAGTTGGACTTCTAAAATTCTAAACTTCCTTCGATAATTACTCTGCTTAGATACCCCACTTGAAACTGAAACTGCACGACCAAGTAGATACCTGTTTTTTTGGTCTGTTTTTTTTGATATCACGATCAAACTTGCAACAAATCCAAGGGTAAAACTACCCATCCAACGTATATACAATATGCATATTAGAAATGCATGCATATTATAGATATGTAGTCATGTACAGAATATATGTAGTACGTACAATCACATATAGTGGCTTAGTGGTATAAAATGTGTATACATCATTGTACATCTGGGTAAATTATAATAATTCACGAACCTGAATTCAGGCCATTTGGGGATGATTTCCCTGATTAACCATGATTTCCAGTGAGGGAGAACAGTGAGGTCGTTATAATTTACCCATATATATATAATTCCTAAATGTTTTGACTGATGGATCAGGAGTGATTGTTCGGTTCATTGCTTATGAAACCTATCATGACCATCATTGGACCATCATGAGGATAGGGGAAACGATGTTGGCCGATCTATATCTATGGTGGTTTCGTATGGGGATCCCCAAGTCACCATGGCTGAAAAAAAACCGATGGCATCAGAAAATCGCGCTCCGAAAGCTGGTCGTAGAACTGACCCCACTGGCTGCCTTGGGACGCAATGGCAAGGGCCCCCGAACTAACGATATCGCTCAGTTTGTGCAAATAACTTGCTGAATTCTCTGGCTTATGGATGCTTATGGTAAATATAATATAACTATAAATAAAACTGGGGGGCACCATCCTAACCATGCATTTATTGCAACTTCTTGCTGAACTAGTTGGATTTTAGACTTGAGAACAACAAATCTTTTTGTTGAGGAGCTTCGAGTAGAGTGGATGAGTAGAGTGGATGATTCTTGATATTGAACAAATAAATATGTGGATTTTGAATGGACAAAACATTGATGAGATGACAACAGTCTAGTGGCCTTGTACAAACATGGAGTAAAACATTCAATTTTTTGGATACGACCGAAGTTCTGACCTGTACCCAGTTCTGACCTTCTTATGTGGTGCCTGGACGCGCAGGGACTCCTCATCTTTCAGCTTTGAAACGTCAGACATGTTGTGAACTCAGGAGCTGAGAAAACATGTTTTTTTCGTTGACTTCTAAGCAACAATTTAGAGAATGTGATATGACTCTTGGTTTTTAACCCATAATTCATGTGAGATATTGGCTAACCGGGATTTTGTCTTTTGTACAGCAAGGCGATCCCAACATCAAAAGTTGGACACCTGGAAATTGAATACTTTTACATATACTTCTCAAACATCCTGGAAAAGTTTCTTTAACATGTAAACCTATCATTTTTATACTTGTCAAAACCTCTACGAATGTCTAGTGTATGCATGTGTATGTACGTGCATGTATGTATATGTGTGAATATGTATGAGTACGTCTATGCATGTGTATATATATATATATGTTTGTATATGTATGTACGTATTCACGTATGTACACGTATGTAGGCATGTACGTCTATGTATGCATGTATGTGTATTTATGTTCGTATAGAGGTACGTACACATGTATATCTAAACGCCAACGAGAAAAAATCAGTTGACATGGAAGTAACACCTCACTCATCAAACTTAAAAACACACTTGGGACCATAATTAGGGGGTTTGAAGAACCATTCTCCAGATATATGACACCCCTGACGGGTAGTGGGTTTGCCATCTCGGGATCCACAGTTGCCGGTGGCCTTCAGGATTTGAACCACACTTACCCCGTTTGCTGTTGATATATCCATTTGTAAGTATCCATTTCTATGTCATCACATACCCAAAACACGATCTGTTCATATCCATAAATTTCCGTAGTTTTCCATAGTTTTCATAATTTTCCATAGTTTTCCATAGTTTTCCTATCACCATCTATCCAACATTGGTCACTTCGCCACATCTTTCGAAGATCGTTGGGTCCCAAGGTGCATTTCTTGAGCCACAAGGGCCATGGCGTGCGAATTGTCTCACCATCCTTCTTGTAGACGTCATTACACCTCAGTTCATTGGAAATATCATCATTATATCCATTACATTATGAGATATTAAACCATTATATAATGATCATATTATGATATCCATTATGGTGAAATGTTTATACCATTATGGTTCATTATGATAATATGATCATTATTATATCCATCATATTATGGTTATTATATCCATCATATTATGAAAAAGGTATTATACCATTATTATATCCATTATTATATCCAAAAGGACATTATTATGGTTAATTATTATTATATTACCGTTGAGGAAATAACCATTCCAATAATGTCCTTTTGGTAAAAAATAGAGGGGCCGGGATGTTTTGGTAATCCCATCTATCATTATAGAAACCTGTTGTTTTTCAGGGGTTTCTTCAAACCCCTCTATTAACCAACCAACCAATGGAAATTTGGGACATCTATGCTTGGGAATTTACCTGGAATCCGCCATGAAAAATCCCGCGAACATCAAGAAAATCCATGGCCAAAGTCGATTTTATGTTCATTGGGACCCCAACTAATTAGTCCGCCAAAATCCCGCGAACATCCCCCCAAAAAAATGGGCAAATTGTTGCCAAATGATGGGATGCATATGATGAATGGCTTTGGGACTTATGATCCTATCGAAAGTGTGATGTTTTTACAAACTAATCAACATACCTTCTGGTTCTTAGGGATAGCTATGGAAAATGGAGAAACAATACCCATTTAGTTCGATGATTTATGATGATTTACCTATCACTTTAATGGTGGTTTCCCAGTTCGCAGCTCGCTAAATAACCAGAGGGTAACTGGAGTCACAGGTTCTCGGAATTTCATTGTAGGCACTGAACTGTTTGCCGCTGCCACTCTTGAAGATCTCTTTGACCTGATGAGCTGGAACTCTCACTCCCCCATGTGCGGCACTGCCTTCAACTTTTCACCACAGCTGAGACCGATGTTTGCGACGAACGTCGCGGCACAATTCAGAAGAGTCTTTGAATCCTTCACTGATCCTCACCACATCCCAGCGTTGTCAGCCACTCAGACCCTGCCAAGATCATCAAAGCCTGCTGCTCATTCAGCTCTGGTCCTGGAGTACTGGCACTGTTTTTTTTGGCCGAGCAATTCACGCGGGCTGCCCAGGTCAGTTGATGCACTGGAAATCATATATAACCACATATTAGAATGGAAACAAATGGATTTAAGTGGATTTTTTTTCCCTTTGCCATGTTGAAGAAGTTTCAGAAAGAAATCTCTCTGGATAAATCACACAAATTCTTTTCAGAAATCATGATTTGAGGTACGGTATCCGAGGTATCCTGAAAATGTTTTCATTCCTCGTGATTCGTTTTTAGTGAAATCCTTTGGGGGGATCCAATGTGACCATAATGTCGTGATTCCTAGTGATTCATGGGTCAGAGATTCCAAATATCGAATCATGGACCGCACGGCTTTCCTTGATATTTTGCTTCTTTTTCGGTGTGTTTCCCTAGCCCGACACGAGAGGATTATATAAAGTAGCCATCCACGGTTGGGGATATTTCATCAGGAAGAGTGTAACGTTGTGTAATTCCCTTTGTATTTTAGAACCAATCGACCATCATGTATCAATCTGGGCAAATTATAGCAATTCACTAATCATTGCCTAATCATCATCCACTAATCATCCTAATATAATACATATCTAATGATCATAATGATCATAATGATGTTGATCTGGGTAAATCATTTACCCTCTGGTTATTTAACATAGCCATGGTATAGATGGCCCATAGAAATAGATGATTTTCCCAGCTAGAAACCTCCATTTATGGTTGGGATTTTCCATGGCTATGTTAAATAACCAGATGGTAAATTTAGTGGCTTTAACATTCATCATTTTCTGGTTTTAAGATTTCCATTTGCTCTAAATTTTTAGTCCGTCTGGAGATGGGGTAACCCCCAATTTAGTGCTTTATCACCATATTTCCACACAAGAAAGAATTTTATCTGGGCAAATTATAATACCATCTGGTTATGACTAACAGTTCGTCATGGAAACATCCACCCAGGCTATTAGTAGGTAAACCATCTATTTCGATTACGGCCATCGAAAAACCATGGCTATGTTAGTCATAACCAAAGGGTAACTCACTAATCTGAAATGTTGGGCCACGGGATGATTCCCCTGAAATATTCACCATGATTCCAGCTTTCGGGAGAACGAAAAGCTGAGGTCGTTCTAGGCGTTTTCTTTTGCCAGCCCAAATATATCTATTATCCCAATGTTGATTGTTAAATTCCACTAGATGCCATTGTTTCACCAATAAATCATCATGAAGAATGTATTTTCCATGAATTTCCCATGTAGTTCACCACTAAATCACCATTAATCATGGACTTTTCCATGTAGTTCAACCCAGCTTGGTATCAACCCAGCGAGTGGTGCCAGTGAAACTGGCAGAGCTGGTAGAGCTGGTAGATATAGCCCAGCTCTTTCAGAACCAATAGAGGTACTTTCTTCATGATATATATATATATGTATATAGTACATATGTAGAGTATATATATAAATCACACTGATATACCAATAGTATATATATATACAGTGTATATGTATATATATAGTATATATTTTCTGAATAACTAACCATCAGTTATATCCCCATATGTTGGATGGCTAATACACCTAAAGTGTGGGGCCTCCCAGCTATAAGTTGGTTCAGTTGCACACCTCTAACTATAGTTACATCCCCCATAAACCCGAGTTCCTCAAATTATTTGGACCAACTTAGCGATTTTGTTTGTGGGCGCCATCTTGTATATTATATATAATATAATAAATATATAATTTATATATATATAATATAATATTTATAATATATATATAGTGTATATACATATAATATACATGCTGGTTAAATCACTATGAACTTCCCGGCCCTCTTCGCAAACAAGTTCGTTCGCTGGCTCAGGCACTCCAACTCCAATGTGGCCGCTGTGTACTTCTCATCTCCTCGCCCGATCGGTGAGCGAAAGTGCTGATGACTACAGGATGGGGCCGCCAGGATAGCTAAGTTGCCTTATAAATGGCTTAACTATGGTTTATGGTAGATATAACTATAGCTAATGGGGGTTTTGATATGGTTTATAAACCAACTGATAACTTGGGGGGCCCATCCTGTACCCTCTGGTAAAGGTTTTACCCTCTGGTTGATAATGATTAATAATGTTAATAATGGTTAATAATTTAACAACACTATTATTAGCCATTATTAATGCTATTATTAATACTATTAGCCATTAATAATACTATGATTTATAATGGTTCATATGGGTAATACAATACTATTAGTAATGGTTTTCCTCGTTTGCGCAGTGGAAAATCACCATCTTTAAGAGGTAAACCAAGCATAAATCACCATTTCCCATCAGGAAAGTGTTAGAAATTACCAGAGGCTACTTGCTGAGGGCTCTGAGGGCTCTAAGGGCTCAGAATGCTTATCATTTCTCAGAGAAATTCATCATTGAACAGGGGTTGGTAACTGTCCCATTTTGGGTATATTGGACATCACCTTATAGTAGCCACTATAGACCATATACCTAATGGTTGGGTGATGTTCAATGGGGACATTTAATGACCCATGTTGAAATATTCCCAGAAAATTCTTCGGGTTGCCCCAAGGTTCGGAGCCATATGAATAGCATCAGGTTTACTATGGTATATTCAATGGCTTCAATGGGACTATGTGGTAAACGTGACATCTTTACTATCCCCAAATGTCAGGTTTATTGTTGGACTTCACACATTGCTACAATCATCATGTTATTCATTGCCAGTATCACGTCCATGAACTACTGATGGATTAATAGGACGTCCAGAAAAAGTCACAATGTTGGAAAAAGGAATGATGTTTGTTGGCTTAGTTGCACCCCTCTCTTATAGTTCTGACTACGGTAAACCCAAATAAATCCAATGGCCATTTCAGGAACCGATTGATTGGAGGTACCTACCATATATATGGCCTATTTTTCAAGCCTAAATTTCAGTATGGTACTAACGTACCTGAATTTGAGGATCCTGAAAATCCCTTTGATAAATCCATGTATTCATCTAGTTCTTTGCACCAACTATCGCCATAGATGGGTAGCCCAGCTTGTAGGTTCATGGCTCGCCTGCTTCCACTATTCAATCTTGGGCCCTGATGAATCCATGATTCTTGGGGTGAAAATTCAGAATTTGCTTTTGGGTGGAAAGAATTTTGACCCATAGCCAAGTATTTGTTGAAGGGGGTTTAACAAAGATATACAAAAATCAATGTTTCCGTACTGAAAACTATTTGAAAAGGATCAGCAAGAAGTAGGTTGAGATCCAGGAGCGGAACAATGACGCTTTACCTTTCCATACGCGTTCAAGTCTGGATAGTTCTAGATCCAGTAGTTGTACAAACCAAACACCACTCAAATTGTTCTTCATTACATGGTGCTGTCAGGAGAATTATGGGCCTTGCTCCCAGTGATAGGTCATCTCATATTTTCACCCAAAGAACTGACAAAGAAGGCTAATGATTGCGATATTTCCAAATGGGCATGGCTCTGATTTCTTGGCTTCTGGAAATAAATTTGTCTGAATATGAAATAGTGTGCGCCTAAATCTATCTAAAATCCATTTGGTTGAGAACGCGATTCCCATTCCATGGATAGTGATAATTCCCAATATTGAAATTTGATAGAGGTGTCGAACCTCGAAACTGCTCATTTTTTCGTGTTCTATCCACATTGTTGAGCCATCTTCAGCCACGGAATGTCAGGAGAACCGGGAACCACCCAGTGGGTCAAACTGGTTGGTGGTATATACCTACCCGTCCGAAAAGTATGAGTTCGTCAATGGGAAGGATTATCCCTATTTATCGTGGAAAATAACAAATGTTTGAAAGCACCGACCAGAAAAAAAGTTAGTGTTGAGCTTGGGATTTGGTGGGGTATGGCTATAGCGGCTAGCGGCTATAGCATTCAGGCATAAACTCGCCCCGGAGGGCCGGACCTGTTTTTGTGTTGATCAACATCACAGTACGTTCGGACATGCGAACATCACCTGAGCACGGGCAATGAAAACTCGTGAGGTGCAAGTCGGCTAGTCTTATCAATGGATTAAGAGAAAATCTTAACCGGAAACCATAGATTTTCCCATGAAATATGGGGCTTTCCTGTAAAATTTCCCTTAAACCAATCCATTGATCTTAGATACACAGCGAGAACACAGATATGTTTCTTGATCCATAGCCATGTGATCTTCTAGTGACAACTTCCTTCGTGGAAGTCACCATCTAGTTCGATCATTTTGCGAACAACACTTCCATTTAGGCCGGATTTTCCAGCGGCCAGCCTTGATGTCACCATTTCGGGTAAATAAATATCATTACCCTCTGGTAAACATACAAAAAGCTATGGAAAATCACCATTTTGAATAGGTAAATCAACTATAAATGTGGTATTTTCAATAGCTATTTTGACATAACCGGAGGGTAATATCCTCTTGGGCAAAAAACATGAGGGTCTCCAATGGTCTCCAATAGGGGCGAGGAAACATCCCAATGAAATATGCAATGTGGGCCCCCCAGTTATAAGTTGGTTATAAACCCCATGAATATTATAGTTATAGATATCATACACCATAGTGAAATTGGAGTTTTCAGAAACCAACTTAGCTCTCATAAATCAGCCATAAATCCCATGACATCCCAAGTTTCCTATAGTTTTCCTATGGTTGTTCCATTAAACGGGGGCCCCACATTGTTAGCAATTTTCACAGTTCATTCACAGTTGAACACCAGACCGCGTCTAGCGCGCTCCCTGCTTCCAAGTGACAAAGGACATCGGCAGATATTGGGGGAAGCAGCGCGCTCAAGACCCAAATCCAGGTCCTGCAGCTGGGCATGGAAAATCGGGGACTTTCACTGAGCTCACTGAAATTTCTGGGAGAATTTATGAGAAGCCATGCTTGAGTCCTTTTTTTTTCGGTAGAAAAGTTGGACATCTGGATATTGTATGATAGTGTGAGGTTTTTATGTCATCACCAAGTCTCTGATCTTTTTGGGGCCTAAAAAAAGCAGAGATTTCCGGCTGCCCTGGCCTGGTATAACGCGCATCATCATGGTGGAGGTTGTTGGCATCAATGGATATCCCCGGAATCCAAGAAATCTATTCGAATTTATTGAACAAAACAGCTAAAAGAAACAACAGAAACAATCCTGGTTGGTGGTTTTTCGCCGTACCCCTCTGAAAAATGATGGAGTGAGTTCGTCAGTTGGGATGACGACATTCCCAATATATATATATATATACATATAAATATAAATATATATATATATAAACATGGAAAAATAAAACATGTTCAAAACCACCAATCAGAATCCAATGTGTGTCAACATGGTCAGTCGCTTTACCCACCTTTACCCACTTGGTGCAAACTAGTTACTAAGTGGTGGTATACCTCATAGCCGGGCTCTGTATCCCACTAATCTAAGTGGCTTGTAACCCAGTCCTCATGTTGTGAGGGCAAAGAATCTGGTGGCAACGGGTCCGGTAAAAAACACGTCGCAGCTTGAGCTTTTGAGCTTTTCAAACTGCGGTGAACAGCACAGAAATTTTGAGACCTAACTGAGGTCTACTGAAGGAAACATCCCACAACATATATGTAAAACTGCGATGTTTATGGATGTATACCCCAAATATGGTCATGAAAGGTTTTGACACATCCCCATGTTTTGTAGTTGGTTCTATTCCCTGTCCTTCCTGCAGAATTCCCCCTACGGTCCGTTCCAAGATGCAGCTGCCTCATTTAGCTACATTAGTACATTTAGCTACATTAGCGTAGCGTAGCAGCAGTCCTCTTCAGGGATCTGTGAGACGAAATCTTTTTGTAAGCGAATCGTGTGGTTGTTCACGAAGGATGATCTGTGCGTCGTCCCAAGCGGATTGGTACCACTTGCCGCGACACTGGCAGAGCCAGAAATGCCAGAAACACAGAGCGGCCAAATTGGATGGTTCACTACCAGGGGCTGACAGGGCACCCACACATAGATACCCCAGTGCTCCAAGATTCCTGGTGAGATGCGCGGGACAGTCCGCTCTATCTTTAGCTATGTTCAACTTGTGAAAAACCGAACTTTATTGTTTGAATAAGCTTAAGTAGAATAAACTTTAGCTATTCAAGTTTTTCTATTAACTTGTTTATCTATTAACTTGTTTATTGCTTTGAGATTATTGAACTTTGAATAAACTTTGCATAACATGATTTAATACAATGGGAGAAGCTGTAAAGAAAACCGATGATAAGTTCACATTACTAAAGCCGTATTAATCATCCGGTTTTTCTGATTGGGGGGATGTTACCCATCTATTCTGCAACCAATGTGTCAAACGGACATTTACCCCAAGATCCCAATCACCCAGATTGAGTGATCATTAAAGAACTCTCTGGACCAATCATCATATGGAATATTAGCAATAATATTACGATGTTTTCCACCATCCAATAATATTAATAATAGTTTATTCACTTTAATTTCCATGAACAATGACATATGATTCATATGATGGATCACCTGTTGGTGTTTCATACCATCATGATTTTGTGTTGCGTATGAACAACTTGGGTTGCCTTTCCAATCCCTTCCCCTAATATTTATTGAAGACCGTTTGAAACCAAGTAGGGGATTTGCACTTATTTTTTTGCACTTATTTGGAACCATTTCACCATTTAGGGTATGTTTAATAGTACAGGGATGAGAGAATTGCCATTTATGGATTTGTCATGAAGGTAAATGATTCGTCAAACAAGAATATCATTCTTGGGTAAATTATATATATATACCCTATCCCCATCATCTCCAAATAAGATGCCTAGTCTATCCTCATAGTCTACCAACAATATCATTTGCGGATAAGTATGAATAAGTTATATCTTCGTCAGATCCTCATATTTAAGCAATCTCCCCATGCTAACCTCATATGGGTATGGGTCAAGATTGGATAAGTTCAATTTAATTGGATGGCTAATACTGAAAAACATGGTCAGTTCAATATCTGCGGCCTAACTTAGGTCTTGAACCAATTGAATGTTGAACCACTCCCACATTTGAAATCATTTGGACTATGGCTATATATGGAGGTTTCCTAAGAGCCATGGGGGTACCCCCAGTCCTCATCCAGCTATTGGGGGTACCCCCATGACTTTGGAAACCCTCAGTGATCAACTAATAATGACTAAGAATGGTATATAGTAAAGGTTTATAACTATTGTTTATTACTATAAATTACTACTGTTTATCACTATATATGGCTATATAAAACTATAAAAATATACTATAAGTATCTATCAGTACTACTGTACTTTAACTATTACTGTACTATAACTATTACTATTACCATTTGCACTATGGCTGGTTGGTGGTATACCTACCCCTCTGAAAAATATGAAAGTCAGTTGTTCACCTTATTCCCAATTTATGGAAAGTCACAAAACTCATGTTCCAAACCACAAACCAGAAAATATATCCTCTAGTAATGTCACATTAGCTATGGAAGATGAAGTGGTTTTCCATGGCGAGCTGTAGATGATTACCAGGTAAGAAACCAGTATATATATACATATCCTATTAAATCCCATTAAATCACCATTATTTGTTGGTTGAGTCACCACTTTCCATCGTTTTTTAGAGGGATTGATGCATCAAAATGCGGCTATGACAGTCCAGTCCCATCCATTTGACACAGCTCAGCGGGCTCAACGGCTGTGAGGGCTCAGCGGGCTCAACGGCTGCGAGGCGAGACTCCAATAACTATGGTTTTGTTGGTTATATATCGACCTAGTTGGGATTATAACCCAGTTATAACTGGGGGCACCATTTTGTATAATTATGTGAAGATTTACCACAAAAAACAATGTTTTTCATGGCTTAAGCGCGTTTTTGATGGATTATGAACATTTTTTTTCCACAGAAACAAGCTGGATCTTCAAGGTTTAAGTAGACGTTTCAGAATCTTTGATCAGCAAGATCTGCTCCACATGGATGAACCAATAAAACCGCAGGTCCTCTCAAGTTTTGCCATTCCCCAGTCAGCTATTCCCAGTGATAAGAAAAAATTGGGGGATGTCCAAAACTGTGAAGTACCAAAAGAGTCATGGAAATCAAACAATTGGGAAACCAATGATAGGCTGATTGGCTTATTTTGAAGTTTCGATCTTCCGCATTTTGAGACACATTTTTGAGCCTCGTCAATCTGTTCATTTCAGTAGAGCTTGTGAGCCGCCAACTGGAAATTGTCAGGCTTGGAGTTTCGACCGACATGTGGATGTTTGACACAAATCACACATTTATGAGGTGCATATACGGCGGCCAATCTTTCTTAGTAATCTTAGAATTAGATATTCTGCAAAGAAAATACGTATTTACAAAATACTAGATTTAATTTCTTGTTTTAATGGATGTTACAATTTACAATTGCAGAATACCAGTAATGGATGAGTCTATAAAAAACCACACACAAAACGAGCACTTCGAGCAGCCAAGAAAGACGAGTTGTTCATCATGGTTCACCAAGATCTACCCATGCAGCAACACCCCATGGATACCGAATCTTTTTGTGCAGTAACATAGCCATGGAAAATGGCCCATTTATGGATGATTTTCTCATTAAAACCTCCATTTTTGAGGATTAATAAACCCTCTGGTTTATTAATTAGGGGGATACTCCTCCAATAGTCATGTCATCTAATACTTAAATGGTACCCTCCCAATTAAACAGCCGTAAACGGGGTTTATTAATCCAGGGTTGACATTAACAGGTAAACCATCTAATTTATACTTGGTGGCTCATCCCACTTAGTAAGTGGGTTAGTTCACCCCAGTGATTTACATGGGATTTTTGTAGAGTTAATCCACTGAAAAAACTGGGGTTATAGTAGAGGTAAGCCATTGAAACCATTTTACCAGAGGGTACCCTCTGGTAAACATACAAAAAACTATGGGAAATCACAATTTTTCATGGGTAAATCCACTAATAAGAATCTAACATTCTA